TGTGTGTGTGCGTGCGTGCGTGCGTGCGTGCGTGCGTGCGTGCGTGCGTGCGTGCGTGCGTGCGTGCGTGCGTGCGTGCGTGCGTGCGTGTGTGTGTGTGTGTCGCTCGTCAAAGAGACCGCGTCCATGGTCGAACACAGCCCTGTGCTTGTGACGGGCCACTAGGGCCGAGGGCTCTTGGGGCCTCTCAAGGCTCCAGAGCACAGTTCACGGTCCCCAGACCGCGCGCAAGGGCAGGCCGAGCCTGCAGGGCAACTCTAGAGTGTGTGTGTGTGTGTTTGTGTGTGTGCGTGTGTGTGTGTGTCGAAATGCCGCGAGGCCGCCATGCGAACCCTGCCGCTGGCGCCTTCGCTGGAGCTCCTACGGGGCCACGATCCTCGTGAGGGGTGTGCCGAAATGGCCCGAGGCCGCCATGCGAACCCTGCCGCTGGCGCCTTCGGTGGAGCTGTGAGGGGTGTGCCGAAATGGCCCGAGGCCGCCATGCGAACCCTGCTACTGGGGCACTCGGTGGAGCTCCCTATGGGGCCACGAGACGATGTACTGGGTGGGTGAAACGCAGGGAGGAGGGAGGAGGAGAGGAGGAGGAGGAGGAGGAGGAGGAGGAGAAGGAGGCGGAGGAGGAGGGAGGGAGGGACGCGGGGCGCTGTCTCTTCAAAACGAGGACCCAACACCACAGGATGGTTGGGAACAAAGGAGTCAGGATGAAAGGCCAATCGCGGGAAAGGGGTCCAGACCTTTGGGGGTCGACGTAGCGAAAGAATCACGACGTCGGGGGTCTGGGGCTGTAACATCGATGCTGTGCGTTGGGTTTGCTCTGCTCCCCTCCTCGTCCTCCCTCTTCCCTCCTCGCCTCCTCAAGGCCGACGGCTGCGTCCGGTGCGTGGCCAGCTCTGCTCTGGCGTGCTCTACAAAAAGAGCTCCCAAATTACTCCCCCTCCTCCTCCTTCTCCTCCTCCTCCTCCTCCTCATCATCATCATCACCATCAGCATCAGCAGCATCACCATCACCATCACCATCACCATCATCATCATCATCATCATCATCACCATCATCATCATCATCATCATCATCATCATCATCATCATCATCATCATCATCATCATCATCATCATCATCATCATCATCATCATCATCATCATCATCATCATCATCATCATCATCATCCTCATCCTCATCCTCATCCTCATCGTCATCATCAGCAGCAGCATCATCAGCATCACCACCATCCTCATCATCATCACCACCATCATCATCACGACTCATAATCATAAGCAGCATCAGCAGCATCATTAGCATCATCAACACAATCATCAGTATCATCAGCATCATCATCAGCATCATCACCATCACACCATCACCATCACCATCACCATCAGCATCATCATCATCATCGTCATCATCATCATCATCATCAGCAGCATCATCATCATCATCATCATCATCATCATCATCATCATCATCATCACCACCACCACCACCACCACCATCATCATCATCATCATCATCATCATCATCATCATCATCATCATCATCATCATCATCATCATCATCATCATCATCATCATCATCATCATCATCATCATCATCATCATCATCATCATCATCATCATGAGGTCTCTGGAATCCTCCGGAGCTCTACGGCGAAGCCCTGGGGAGTCACCACCAGAGTCCAACTGGGGCCCAGAACGTCCAACAGCCTCGAAACTCCTCCTCCGCCTCCTCATCCCCTCCTCCTCCTCCTCCTCCTCCTCCTCCTACTCCTCCTCCTCCTCCTCCTCCTCCTCCTCTCCACCTTCCTCCTCCTCCTCCTCCTCCTCCTCCTCCTCCTCCTCCTCCACCTCCTGTCCTCCTTCCTCCTCCTCGTCCTCCACTTCATTCTCCTCGTCCTGCTACTCCTCCCTCCTTCTTTTCCTCTACTCCTCCTTCTCGCACTCCTCCACTGCCCGCCTTCCTCCCCCCTCCCTCCGCCTCCCATCCTTCCCCCTCGATCCTCGCTCACCCTCCTCCCACCCCACATCCCCCCACAGCCCCCGTCTCGAAGACAGCCGGGTCTCCCCGAGGCCCGCGCGTAGCGCGAGGGCGTGCCCGGTGTGCCCTGGCCGGCGCCCGCCAATGTCCTGACGGGACGGCGCCGCGGAAAAGCGCCTCTGCCTCGTCGACGTCGTCGTCCTCGTCCTCGTCCTCGAACTCCTCGTCCTCGTCCTCTTCCTTTTTGTTTCTCTTCCTCATTATGCTCCTCGTCCTCGTCCTCATCTTCTTGTCCTCCTCCTCATCCTCCATATCCTCCTCAGCCTCCTCCTCCCCTTCCTCCTCGCCCTCGTCTCTCCTCCTTCTTCCTTACCCTCCTCCCCCTTTCGTGTTTTCTCGATGCCCCGTCCATAGCCATTTTGGTTCAAGCCAGAGGGCTCCAGCCTCGCTCAAACATGGGGCTCGAGCCCGCGTCTGATCTCCTCCCAAGGCTCAATGCTCGCCTGTGTGCAACTACGGCTTGAGGTCGACGTCTTCCGCTCCGTGATGCTGGGGTACAAGTCGGCGCATGGCCGGGTCTAATTCAGTCCTTCAGCGTACTGCTCGAAGTATTGACGCGGTGGTTCCTCCACCCATCCGTGTCGCACATTTCTCGTTGTTGCATCGCGGGCCTGGGCGCACTTCCATTGGTTTGGTCATTATGCCATTCAATTTCTGATGGCATGTGGCTAAGGTGCATGTTTCAAGAAAGGGCTCGAGGGATATGCCGTGATGACAAGCATCCCACTCGTCCGCGGGCCTGGTGTGCCCTGGTGCCTCATCGGCTTCTGGGGGAGTTCTTGGTGTATCTGCTGCAATATGGATGTGGCCTCTGGCCTAGGCTTTCTGCGTGGCGGTTCACACCGTTCGGCACTTCTGCGTTGTCGTCCTGGTGCAGGCGGAGATCTGCATCCGTGTTTTTGCCACAGCCTGTTCTCGTGAGCTTCATCGTGCGGGTGTGAATTGCCAAGCGCATCGGGTCTTGCTGTACGCGGCTACATCGTGGACGGGGGCAGGCCGGCTGTGGTGCAGTATTTCGGCAAAGTGTTGTGCGTTGCTTGTTTTATCAATGTGTTGTCTGGCTGGTGGTTAAACGTAGCGTGCAATTCGCCACAGACCTTCAGAGTATTGGCGGAGTGAGCACAGTTGTCACGTCGCATCGGATGGGATCGAGTCGGGTGTGCCTTGATGATTGCCTTATTCTCCACTGTGTTCTACGCGTTGTGAACAGATCGAGTGGCCTACAAAGAAACGCGATCCAGCCCATAGCCGGAACAAACAAATCCTTGTTTCCGCGTTCTCGTCCTTACTCCCTCCCACTCCCCCTCCTCGTCCTTGTCTACGTCTCGACCTCATCCTCCTCCTCCTCATCCTGCTGCTCCTCCTCCTCCTCCTCCTCCTCATCATCATCATCATCTTTTTGCTCCTCCTTCTCCTCCTCCGCCTCGTCCTCGTACTTGTCCTCCGCTGTAAAGTCCCCGAATCATTATTTTGGGGTGCTCCGTGCCCAAGAGCGGCACTGCGCGGCGCCATGGTGGCGCTCGTCTTTCGCACGTGGGGCCAATCCGAGGAACCTGGCCGAGCGAAGCTTCGGCTGAACGCTGAGCGGGGGAGCGTGGTGAAGTAGCCTTGTGACCGTCCCGCCTCCTCCTCCTCCTCATCCGCCTCCTGGAGTCTCGTACCTCCTCCTCCTCCTCCTCCTCCTCCTCCTCCTCCTCCTCCTCTTTCTCCCCCGCGTCTTCGCCGTGAGCATCCTCCTCCTCGTCCTCCTCCTCCACGCTTTTTCACCAGCAGTCGCGAACGCATGCAAAAAAACAGCGCCGACAGAAGGCAGCCAGCAAACCTGCACAAGTCATAGCTCCGCCTCCTGTTCCTCCTGCTCCTCGCTCAAGCCAGGAAGTCAGGGATCCCCTTGTCATTCGAAAGCCCAGGGGCGAGTTTCAACTCCAGAGCTTTCTCGAGTATGGTCAAACCTGTAAGTGGGGTAGACATAGCCCACGTGGACCCGCTCCACCACGGCCAGCGGCACCATCCACGTGGACTAGCTCCACCACGGCCCCTGGCGTGGAGTAGCTCCACCACGCCCTCTAGATCAACAAGAGACGACGGTTATGATGTACCAACTTCTGTGTATGGCATTCCACGCAGAGTTGGCGGGGAAGGGAGGGGCGCGGTCGGGCGTATGGTGAATGCTTGAAGGGACCTGTGAGGTCGGGCGTCCCTCCGCGCCCGCCCCCTCCGTCCCGCACACGGAGACTTCGCACTCTCTATATGCTGGGACGGTGCGTATGTGGGTGTGCGTGTCTGTGTGTCGTCTTCGGACGCTGCCTCAATCTCCTCACTCGCAGCCCACGCCTGGGTGGCTATTGACGGTCGATCCGAACTGGCCCCGCGTCCGCGGGCCCGGCTGCGCGCGCCAATTCCGCCCCGCTTGCTCGACTTGCTCCGGCTCGTCGCCGCGTGCGAGGCCGCGACCGCCAAAGTTCTCGTGTCTGTGTGTGTGCACAGTCCGTTCAGCTGCCCCTGCACGTCTTCGGGCTCCGCCCGCGCCATGCACAAAGCTGGATGTGTTTTTGCTGCACGCCGACTCGCTCTGCGCTGTCCTGCACCTGCAAAGCATGGTGGCAACTGCCGCGGCAATGTGTGTCCCTTTCCATCACTGGATCCGTTTCCGTCACCTCGCCGGAGGAGGAACAGTGTGAGGGCCGCTCGCGCCCTGATGCCGCGCGGACAGCGCCAGGGGTGGTGGGCAGTTCCTCCGAAGCCAGTGGGCTCCAGGAGGTACACTGAAATCAACGAGTTCCAGAAGGAAGGGAGGGAAGAGAGGGAAGGGAGAAGAGGAAGCAGAGAGGAAAGCGGAGGAAATGAGGAGAGAGAGAAGATGGGAGGGAAGCCGAGGGGAAGAAAGGAAGGGGATTTTGGGGGAGGCATGGATGTCATTTCATAGAAGGGAAGGGCGGGCGTGTGAAGGCGACGGGAGGAATTCAGGATTCAGGATTCAAGGGGGGCCCTGTCCCTCAGCAGCAGCACGGCACGCAGGGATGGATTCCCTGACGGACGTCGGGAAAGACGACTGATAGGCTATACCCTCCGAGCATCGCTCAGCAGCCCAAATATGACGCGAAAACCACGCTCGAAATGTCTCAATAATGACTCGGAGTCCCGTCATCCTCCCTCCCTCCGCGTCCTCCTCCTCCTCCTCCTCCTCCTTCTCCTCCTCCTCCTCCTCCGCCTAGCCCTCCCGCATCGCTCCTGCCACTCCATCCCTCATTTCCTCCTCCCACTAATCATACCTCCCTACTCCGTCCTAATTATCATCTTCCTACTCATCATCATCATCATCATCATCATCATCATCATCATCATCATCATCATCATCATCATCATCATCATCATCATCATCATCAGCATCATCAGCATCATCAGCATCATCATCATCATCATCATGATCACCATCATCATCACCACCATCACCACCACCACCATCATCACCACCACCACCACCATCATCAGCAGCATCATCGGCACCATCACCACCACCAGACTCATCCTCATCCTGATCACCACCTTCACCATCACCATTCCCATCACCCCCGCCATGTGCAATGCACACCCACGGCCCCCGTCAACCTCACCGTCGGCACCGCCACCGCCACCCCCTCCCCCCCCTCTGGCGGGCCGGGGCCTGGAGGCCTGGCCATCCTTCCCCAGGTGGCGCTTGGCGCCCTCCGAGAGCCGCGGGCGCGCCTGCTCGCCGTCGTCCGTGCTGACCTCGGGCCGCGGCGCGCGAGCCGCGGCGCGCGGACTGCCTCCTGCGACGCGCCGCCTGCCCCGGCTACGGTCGGGGCGCTGGCCGAAGGAGCCCCAGTCTCTCAAAAGGTGAAGCTCTATGTCCGATCCCAAACCTGGGGAAAACCCGAGGCAAGCTGTGGAACAGTCAAGGAACATCGAGCCCCTCCCCGACGTAAAGGGTTCACTCTTCAGCGCCCCGACTGTACTCCCTGTCCCTCGCCGGAAGAGGTGTGGATCGGCGGCGAGCGAAGGGGGAAATGAGAGGGAGAAGGCCTTCTCGGAAGACGGCGGGACTCCTCAGGAGCCCTCGCGCCTTCCGAGGAGCTTTTTCAGTTTTCGGGAAAGGCTCGGAGAACTTCTCAGAAGACTGGGGAACTCCCGAGCCAGTCTGAGAAGGCCTGCCCTTCTCACTTCCCCCCCGGGCGCGCCGCCTAGTGGAAGAGAGGGGCGAGAATCGGCACGGAGGGAGACGCGCACGGAGAGGAGTCGAGATGGATGGCTGAATGCCGAAGGCCCGAATGCCTGGTCGAAGCCAAGCTACGCTACCAGGACGGGCCCACGCTCCGCGTGGCCAACGGGAAACGAAAGCCCCCAAAGGCCCCCTGAGAGCGCCCGGGCCGCCACGGCCCGACGCCTGGGCCCACGAAGGGCCACGGGGACGGGCACCCAGCACAGCGAGCCGAGCCCAACCGCGGCGACGCAAAGTCGGCCGCAAACCCGCAGCCGCACGCACGCGGAAACGGCCCCGCGTGCCCTCACGGAAGGGGCCCTGGGACACACAAATAAATACACACAAATAACTGGATTCCCTATATTTTGCCATATTCTTGGATTTTCATCTTCCCCCCCACTTCCCATATTTTTGCATATGTTCCTGGGAAGCGACGATTCATTGTGTCTCTGTTTTTTCCCTTCCTGACTCACACGCACCCTGCCGCAGCCAGCGCCGCGCGGCGGCGCGCCTCTTCCTCATTCTCCTGCGCCTTGCGGCGCTCCCAGGCGATCGCCGCCGACGGGCTCGGAAACCCGTGGAGCGAGGCGACCGTCGCTTGGCCCATGGGCTCCCAGGCCAAGCCGTAGTACCTGCCGGCCCCAACTCCCGCGTCCTGCGGGCCCAGCACCGCGCTCCAGCGCTGCCGGCGCTGCCGCGCTGGGGCCCCGGGCCGCGTCCAACTGGACGAACTCCTGGCGCGGATGCGGGTGAAACCCTTGCCGCAGGTCGGCGCCGGGCCTCCGCCAGGCCAGGAGCCTGCGGTCCCGAGCACCTCTCAAGAAGCTTGCCCCCGCCCCTGCCGCTGGCGCTGCGCACTCGCCCCGCAGCTCAAGCAAAGCAGCACGTCTGGCTGATCCCGGCATGCAGACGCCACGATGCTGCGGCCGCGGGGCCGCCACGGGGCGGCCTCGGCACCCTCGCCCTCCTCGCCGCAGGCCTCCGCGAGCACTTTGCCCTCACCAGCGTCCTCGTCTTGTCCCCGCGGCGTGGCCGATTACAGTCCTCCTCCTCCTCCTCCTCCTCCTCCTCCTCCTCCTCCTCCTCCTCCTCCTCCTCCTCCTCCTCCTCCTGGGCTGGGCGGAGGCTGCTGGGCGGCCTCGCCCGGGGCCCCCTCCAAGCCGTCGTCGTCGCGCAGCTCGTGCCGCTGGACGCGGGCATATGCGTCGCCCCACCACGGGCTGAGCTGCTCGGCGCGCCGCCTGCACGCAGCTGCGGACACCCTGGCCTCCTCGGACACCTGCCAGAGCTTCGCACCGCGCTTGGCCATCTCTTGCTGGTAGGCATCCTGCCGACGAAGGGCGGCTTGGCGAACGGCTCACCCCCGGGCTCGCTATAGGTGGCGGCGGACGTTCGCATCGCTCAAGGCGAAGCCCCGGTCCCGAACGCACCCGACCGTATCTTTGCAATCGCTGTGCACCCTCAGGAGGCCCTGGCCCAGCGCTGCGGACATCTTGAGGGCGTAGTCCTCTCCGTCCCGGGCTTCCTGATGGGGGCCCTTCGACAAGGAACACCACTCCATAGGCTGCTCCCATGACCACGATCGCCCAGCCTGCACGACGCAACGCGTCCTCGACGTCGTAGGCACTGCCGTGGCCGAAGACGTCGCCCGTGAAAAAGCCTCCCGCCGGCCTGATGCGCCTCACCAGGCAGGCGCTCCCGGGGGCCTCCACCCTGGGGAAGCAGTGCGCGGGGCTCGGCAGCAGGGATCTGGCGAAGAGCTCCCCCGTCGACTCGCCGCGCGACCACACGACCGATGCTGCCTCTGAGAGATCCCGGGGGCATCGATCTCTCCGGCGCGCCGCCGTGCAATCGCACGCAAAGTAGCCATGCAACAGGGTCCCTCGCGCAGCCTGGCACAACTTGCACATGTGGACCTCCGCCTTGCCCGCGGCGCGCAGCCGGGCCTGCGTCCAATTGGATCCGCCGATGCGGCCCCCGAGGGCCCGCTTCTGGGGAGCGCCCCGCCCCTCCTCATCGCCGCCGCGCCGGGCCAGCAGCTCCGCCGTCGGCGTCCAATTCAGCGGAGCAGCCTAGGCACCTTCGCCTCGGAGACGGCCAAACGCGCGTCGGAAGAAAGCTGCGCATGCCTCCTGATCACATAGGCCGCCACTCGGCAAGGACCATCTCCAGCGCGGCCGACCCAGCGACAGACAAGCCAGGACTGTCCTCGTCGCCAAGCTCGACAATGTCGCATGTCGCACTCAGCGTCCGCCTGCTTGATGAACTCAAAGGCGCGAGAGTCTCCCATCTCCGCAGTGGCAGCTTTAGCCCATGCCTTCCACTCTCTGCTGCTGTCGGCAGCGTCGCGAGCGTCAGCAACGGCTAATGCTCGTTTAACACGGGCACGGGTGCGCGGACGGCTACCTGGGCCCAAATTACAAGGGAGAAAAAGGAACGTGGCAAAGAAGGCAAAAACAGTGAATACGCTACCGTTCGAGTCTGGTGCTCAAGCGAGTCTGCCTGTGCCCCGTCGGCTGCAGCACGCAAGCCGCGCCGCAACCAAAGAGGCCTCATGGACAATTGCAACTTGAAAAGAAAACCGAGTTTCGGCACGCTCCGGGAGTTGCCGGACTTCGCGGCGCCCCATGTCATATTGGCCCCCAAGGCGCCAGGCGCCAAAAACCTTGTTTACGGCGCGCGACGACAGGGGCAGGAGAACGAGGAGGAAGACGAGGAGGCGGAAGTGTTTATTATCTCTGAAGTTCATTCTGTTTTGGAGAGCTTTTCAAATGAATACTGTCACGATTCAGGGCGTGCCCGCCGTATCTGATGGAGATCCGCCACCGTGCCTTGTGCACGTTGAGGCGCGAAACCATTGCAAGGGCTGCCTGGCAGGGTGTTTGTATTCTACTACGGGATGCCCCTCCCTACCAGCATCTCCCCGCACGCACCGCCCTCCCTCCCTCCCGAAGCCACGACCCCAAACGATTAAGCCGCGACTCCAAGTCCACGATCCCTTGTTAAATCAACTAAGGATCTGCGTCCCGAGCTTCCAAGATGGCTCACGCAGGCAACCAAAGAGACCAAGATGGTGCACGACGCGTCGAAGAAGGCGCAAGATGACCCCAATGCGGCCGACTATGGCTTCAAGACAGCCCAAGATGCCTCCAGAAAGAGACCCAAAAGGGCCACAAGAGGACCTCAGGGTCCGAAGAAGTCAAAAGGATTGATTTCCTGCTGGTCTTCAATGTTTTTATTTTGCATTATCGCATTTTCGAGATTCCGTCGGCTCAAGACGGCGAAAAAGGCCTCCACGATGGGTCCCGGACGGCCTAAGAGACTTCCAAAAAAAAAAACCCATGATGACCCCAGAGGGCCCCGCGATGGCCCAAAAGGCATCCAAGACGGCCCCAAGACGGCCCAAGCGGGGGTCCCGCGGGGCCCGAGACGGCCTGGGAAGGCCCTTCAACGGCCCATGACGGCGCCAAGGCTACAGTAAACAAAAAAGGTTTTGAAAAAAAAGGAAAACAAAAAAAAAAATCTGGATTGTCGCGTAGAGTTTGGAGCGCCGCGCCGGGGCGAGCCACAAAACTAGGATATAACAAATAAGAAAGAGCGCAACGATGCGGCACTGAACAAAACAAGGTTGTCCATGATGAAATGTGCGCCAATCCGCGCGAAGCCTTAAATGCAATTCTAAGTGGGCACCCCAAATAAATATTTACTGACGCATTTTTAGGGTGCCATCTTTTATGGAGGGGGGGGAGCTGGGGGGGTTGTTCGGGGGGTCGTGCTGGGGGGGGGGTCTCTTGCCGGGGGTGACGATGGGGCTCTGGGTGAAGAATTAAGGAGAGATTTAAATGCAGATTTTGGCTGGCAGGGCTCCGGGGTGAAGATGCACGTGGAGATACATGAAGATTTAGGCTGGAGGGGCTGCGGTTTCGTGAAGATCTAAATGAAGATTTAAGCTGGCGGGGCTCCGGGGCGAAGATTTCCGGGAAGATTTGAATGCAGATTTAGGCTGGCGGGCCTCCAGGGTGGCGATTTTAATGAAGATTTACACGGAGATTTAGGCGGGCGTGCCTCCGGGGTGAAGATTGTCGCGAAGATATAAATGAACATTTAAGCTGGCGGGCCTCCGGGGTGAAGATTCTCGTGAAGATTTAACTGAAGATTCTGGCGGGCCTCCGGGGTGAAGCTTTAAGAGCCTGGGCGAATATTTGGATGAAGACTTATGGCCAGGGTGAAGATTTACGCCCCTGGATGAAGATTTACTGCGCTGGAGGAAGATTTACGCGAAGATTTCAAGACTGAGTGAAACTTTGCGGCCCTGGGCGAAGATTTAGCTGAAGATTCGGGGCCCCGGGTGAAGGCTGAGGCGAAGATTTACGGCTCTGGGCGCAGATCTATGTGAAGATGTAAGGCCCGGGGCGAAAATTTAAGTGAAGATTTTGGGCCCCGGGGGGAAATTTAAAACCCTGGGGTGAAGATTTACGCGCCTGGGCGAAGATTTACGTGAAGATTCAGTCAGGCCAGCGGCGTATCG